TGAGTTCCTTTCACATTAAGAGTCCTCTTGTTGAATGATAGTGATATGATCAGTGATATCATTTGGTCAGTACAGGCTGTGGATGGGTAAGATGGAGGTGTTCTTGGTCTTTTCCAGCAGTTTCTCTCTCAGTGTTTGTTTCTGGACTTCGTGCCAGACGTACTGTGGGTTTTCTACAGGCGGAGGCCGTCCCGTCCCCGTCCACTCCACCTTCTCCCCGTCCTCGTTGCGTTGGACGTAGTCAGGCACCAGTGCCACCAGCGTATTGAGACACACGCCATCCGTCTTCCCGTGTTGCCGGCCGTTGTGCTGCAGACTGAAGATTCCCAGCGTGTTGACGTCCTGGTCATAGTATACTGACGGCATGGCTTCCTGTACCACCAGGTTGGCTGCCCAGGTCACCGCATGTGTCTTCACCGCTGCTGCTGTGGGGAGGTGGAGCACCGGAGCTGCAGGATGGAGAACGAAGGGGGGGGTTAGGAACACAGAGGAGTTTTTGTCTTTTTTCCAAGAAACAAGGAAATGTATTTATCATTATACAACACAAGGTTTTCAACAAAATGAAAGTGTGCAGTTCCTTCATGGTACAGACATGAAAGAAGATAATAATTTGACACTATTTGTCTTTCAGAGACAATAAAGATTTGATTGAGTCCATTTGAGAATAATACCTACATTACAGAGGACAGGACAGATACAGGACAGAGGTTTGTACTGTTTATTTGCTTCAAATAATAGTAACAATAATGATATTACCATTAAATAGGTCAGTGCTGTGGATACAGGGCATAGGTCAGTGCTGTCTATTTGATTCCTATAATAGTAACAGTAATGATATTAATGTTAACTTTATGTCATACGTTTTAGTGAGTCTTTCAGAGACAGTTAATAAAGCTTTGATTGAATCCATTTGACAATAATAAGTTACATAGGTCAGGATGAATAAAGGACATTGCTGTAGATACAGGGCAGCAGTTTGTGCTGTAGATACAGGGCAAATATCACTGCTGTAGACACGGTGCGGCGGTTGGCACTGTATATGCGGACAGCAGTCGTTGCTGTATATACCAGGAATAGGTCTATTAATAATAACTTTTTTATTTATAGGTACATTTTATTATTTGAAATGTTTTAGTGAAGTCAGATAATTAGAATCTTTATTAAATATGCTTTTTATTCTTCTGCACGTTTTTTAGACTGGATCTACTCGCGCACTTTTGCAGATAGACAAATAATTAAAATGTATAAATATAAAGCCTGTTGCTGTCATTCACCCGTACGTGTTCATCTTTTTTATATCTGTTACAGTTATTAGGATATGAATATTATATACAATTACAATATGAGTCACATATACTATATAAATAGTGGGTTGAGTTTAGTGATTGAACCAAATAAAAGCTGAAGCTTTATTGTATTTTATCATCAAGTTGCTGCATTAATAGAAACAAAGAAAAATGTTTGTGACTTTATCTGAAAATACTTTAAAGAAGCTCTTATTTACAGATTTGTTTTCCATCTGATGAGCAGTTAGCTACCTTTGACGAGCAGGATCCAGATCTGCTGCTCAGCGTTGGTGAAGACCAGGACGAGTCTCTGCACCACGTGACGGCAACTCAGGTCCACAGGTAACGTAACAGGATGCCAGGGATCCTGACGGTACCTGAAAGCAGCACAGCAGCCAGAGTCAGAGTTAGTATTCAGCTTCATAATCTCACTGTTTTCATCAAACGTTCATCACATTTCAGACCATGTTGATCAAAGTGATTAATTGATGACATTAAAAACAACATATGATCAGTTTTACAAATTGTTGTCATATAATAAACTAAATTAGCCAATATTTCACTAAACATACAAGATTAAAAGGAAGTCCAAAATATTAATAAAAATGTGTGTGAACTTTTCTTCATTCCCCTTCATGATCTGATGACCTGTCAGATTCATCTGGACTAATTAACTATTGAACTTTAGTGTTTACTGTAGATCTACTTATGTAAGATTTTACTTGTAATGGAGTACTTTTACTTAAAGGGATAGTTCAGTTTTTGCCTCAGTTGGTTGGTGTGTTTGTGTTATTGTGTGACTTTGGTGTTTATCGTTAGAAGCTGTGGAGCGAGGCAGCAGTGAACGACATAAACACTCTGTTGCTGCACCCGTCCACAGCAGCACCTGTTGGATTCTCTAAACTGAAGGTGTGTCAGTCTCCATCTACCGTAGATACTACTGTGTCCAGGACAGAGACATGTTTAGCCTAGCTTAGCACAAAGACTGAGAGTGTCGTACTTGAGGCCGCAGTCGATGAGGCGGAGGATGTCTCGTCCCCGCAGAGGCAGCGCAGACTGTCTGTCCCACCAGGAGGCCTGAAGAGACTCGTGATCTGCTGCTGACGGAGTCTTTAAAGTCCCACCTGACAAACAAAGGTCAGAACATGTTTCTGCTGAGCTAATGGCAGTAAGACGTTCGCTACCTATCAATCTTTACATCAGGAAACTCTCTAAATGACCTCGGTAACTAGCTTGTTAATTTATATAAATCATTTGAGCTAGCTAACGATTGATGTAGATTAGTTATCTAGGAACAGGAAAGGAGGAAGTTGACTGAGGCTTTCTCAACTGTTATTGGAGGAGAGAGCAAAAAGGGGCGGGACAATTAGGTCAATGTGGGTCCTCATAAGAACAGAAGTATAAACGTGTAAGTGTCTGTGTGACCTCTGACCTGTGACTTTGGCCAGAAAGATAAATCGAATCCACTGCGGTCCCTGTTCCTGGACCAGCAGCAAGGTGATTGGCTCACAGTCGAACCCCGCCTCCTCCTTCACCTGCAGACAAACAGAGCTGTGACTCAGGTAACCAGGACAGGTGTGTGTGTGTGTGTGTGTGTGTGTGTGTGTGTGTGTGTGAGTGTGTGTGTGTGTGTGTGTGTGTGTGTGTGTGTGTGTGTGTGTGTGTGTGTGAGTGTGTGTGTGTGTGTGTGTGTGTGTGTGTGTGTGTGTGTGTGTGTGTGTGTGTGTGTGTGTGTGTGTGTGTGTGTGTGTGTGTGTGTGTGTGTGTGTGTGTGTGTGTGTGTGTGTGTGTGTGTGAGTGTGTGTGTCTCACCTCCCTCCTTAGCGCCTCCTCCAGGCTCTCCCCAACCTCCACCCTCCCTGCAGGCAGGTACCACTGCTTATAACATTCCTGCTTCGCCTCCTGCACCATCAGCACCTCCTCCTGATGGAGAACACACACACACACACACACACACACACACACACACACACACACACACACACACACACACACACATTGACATAAAGTATTCCTGAGCTCCGAACCGAAACATTAACCATCACAGTTAAAAGCTTTCCCACATTCCTAACCCTGGTTAAGGACTCCAATTGGTCCTCACAAAGATAGCAGTACAGTCCACACACACACACACACACACACACACACACACACACACACACACACGTACATTACACTCTCGTTAAGCTCTCAGAAACAGGAAGTTGTCAGGAGACCTTATCGTTGAAGATGACGCCGCAGACGATGTAGGTGACGTTCTTCTTCAGAGTTGCTGGTTTACTCTGGTCCAGGCCCACGTCACACCCTGTGACCTCTGACCCCTGACCGCTCAGCAGCGCCTCCACCTGCTCCTCCACCTGCCGCCGCTGCTCCTCCTCCATGTCTGCAGATACACACACACACACACACACACACACACACAGGTAAATAAACCAGACATTGCAGGTTTACAGACAGACACAGTTTCTGTCCCAACAAGAAGAGTGTTCAAGAGTTATTGGTCCAAAAAACAAAGAAAACATCACTAAAACATACAAAATAAAATTAATATTAATAATATAATTATTGTTACAATTATATGAATCAAATAGACACTACAGACCTACGCCCTGTATCCACAGCACAGACCTCTGTCCTGTATCTGTAATTTAGGTATTATTGTCCAATAGACTCAATCATATGTTAAACTGTCTTTGTTACTCTTCCATGAACCTCTAGACCTCTGACCTGTATCCACAGCACTGACCTATATATCAATAATATTATTATTATTATATAACAGTCTGGAAAATGTACGGGAAAAAAAGAAGCAGAATAAAGACTGAAGATAACAATGTGTGATTGCTTCAAGCAGAATAATTCACATAAACTGAGTTGACCTACCGTCGATTAATGAACCTTGTTCATACCTGTAGCAGTGAGGCTGTCGCAGGCAGCACAATCTATTTCCATTTAAGGCTGTAAACAAACCTTACGACGTTAAAGTCCCCTCTCTACCAATAACAGGAACAATAAAGCAAAAAGACGAACCTTTCGACCTTCTTCTGTAGCTCAGTTTTATATATATATATACACTTTATGCTTTTTGCCTGAGGAACATATAACTTCACACATAACATCAAAAGGCTTCAATGTGGGTCACAACTGGAGGACTTAATAATAATAATAATAATAATAATAATAATAATAATAAATAACACAGGATGTTTAGTGTCATCACATCCAGGTTGGACAGGAGAAGTTTTATTATTTCATTCTTTATTACTGCATTATTGTCAGTCTGCCATATTATAAATAGCTGGATCTCTTATATTTACACACATATATATATATATATATATATATATATATATATATATATACTTGATATGATGTTTTATTTATAAGCATTTACAACTACTACTGCTTATCTTTCAGTATTTAATTATTCTAACACTCAGTGCAGTCTGCTCTTATTCATCTATTTTGTATTTGTTTTTAAAAAGTGCTATACAAGTAATAATAATAACACAATATGTATTATTATTGTTATTGTTGTTGTTGTTGTTGTTGTTGTAGTCAGTGTATGTTACATTAGTTATCAGACTAATGTTTATGTACTTTAACCACAGTGCTATAAAAAGGTTTGCTCATTATTCTACCTGACAATAAATAAATATTAACTGAATGTAGAAATGTGTCTTGATACCTGAGCTGCTGTCAGAGGTCAGAGTTCAGAGGTCAGAGGTCAGAGTTCAGAGGTCAACGGATTATAAGATAAAGTAATCCTCACACAGAGCTAACAGCAGCTAACGTTAGCGACCGTTTTATCTGTTTCTTCCTTTTTAATCAAAGTTCCCAACAGGAAACTCAATGATCAGTAATCAATAGAAATAAAAGGCCGAACCTTCCAGTGATCAGCAGCCGTATCGATCCTCCATCCACTGACTGCTGCTCTGACGTCTGCACCGAAACAGGAAGCACACATACTCTTCCGGGTCCTGGTTTTCAAAGTAAAGCCAATGCGTAGCTGCGCAACTCCGTACTAAGTGGTTAAACAGGTTGAATTATACACACACACACACACACACACTCTGTGGTGATTTAAAGTGGCAAGAATAACAAAACTATATTGTTAACAAAAATCATATTTTTATAACCTTTGTAATAAGTCATGTTCCTAAATAGGTATTTTATTGTGAAATCTGTTACCGGTTGTGTCGTTGCTGTGCGCTGTGGTGTCGTAACGTGCAGTAAGGTCACACAGAGGCTTTACATCAGCTCACACACTTATTTAAAGAAAGTCAGAGAGTTTTATAGATTAATATTCACACTGATTCACTAACTGAAGACTGGCGGGAAGAAACAAACCGTTTAACCGGCGGGAACGGTTTGAACCGGGTCGTTAATCTCAGACAGGTGAGTCCGGTTCCTCTGCTGATTGAACGTTAACTAACATTTAATATGTTTCTGTGTTTCTACTTTATTTAAAGCTTTATCACTGACTGAGACATTATCTAACGTTGTTCTCCTGCAGAGCGCTTATAATGATTATTAGATTTCAGGCTGTGTATCAATATGTTCTCTATATATAGACTATTGTTTTCATTATCGATTAATCTGTCTCACAGATATTCAGTTTTTGTCACTGAGGACAAAAGAAACCAGGAAATATTCACATTTCAGAAGATGAAATTTGTTCTTAAAGAATGAGTCAGCATAAATAAATAACTTAAATATTTAGTGATTAATTTAATAGTTGACAACTGATTGATTCATTTATTGATCTCTGCAGGTAATAATGAATCAACTGAGATTAACCTCACCAGGTTGAAGGTTTTTATCAGCAGTGAGTGTTGTAACGTTTCTCTGTTACCTGTGGTCTTTATACGTGTTTCTGTGTATTTCTACACTATCTAACCTCAGTGTGTGTTTTAATCCTACAGTCAACCCTGAGACGCCCCGTCAGCCAATCAGAGCTCCCCGTGCAGCCCCTCAGCTGGAGCAAGAGTCTGAGGAGAATGAGGCTTCAAGGCTGTCTGTAAGTGGAGTGTCGTGGTGTGTTCAGGGTCCTCTGTGCTCAGTCAGTAGCTCCAGCTCTCCACTCATGACACATTCAGGGTTCAGCATCCCCTCGGTGTCTGTGTGTGTTTGTGTATCTGCCCTCAGACTGACAGGAGATCAGTGAATCTGTAGAGGAACTGCAGCTGAAGATACTCCAGTGCTGGTTTCTGTTGTTAAACAGTTTCTGGTTGAGGTTGACTGTCTCCGATGGCGCGGCACAGTAAGCTGCAGAAGCAGGTCCTGGCTCTGTACCGGCAGTTCCTGCGGGCCGGCCAGGACAAACCGGGCTTCATCCCCCGAATCCACGACGAGTTCAGAGAGAACGCTCGCATCAAGAAGACGGACGTGATGCACATCGAGTATCTGTACCGACGGGGACAGAGACAGCTGGAGCAGCTGAAGGACGTCAACACCAAACAGCTGGGCACCTTCTCCAAAACCGGAGAGAAGAGCTGACCTCCGACCTGTACCACATCACCTGACCCCGAACGACACCAACGATTACCTGTCAGAGACCACCAAAATGTCAGGCTGAGATGCTGCATTCAAGTTCGATGGGGAAACAAATGCTCAGTGTGGAGAAAACATGTAACAGTGGTATGAACTGTAATCCAGCAGATGTGCAAATGACTGATTAGAATCAGCACAGGACAATAATAATAAACAGCTACATAGAGACATCAGTGTGTTCATTGTTCATGTTAAGAGAATAAAATCCTCTTCTTCAGGCTGTGTGCAGTAACGCTAGCAGCTCAGTGAGGCCGTACTGTGCTTTAAGCTTAATGCAGCATCAACATTAAACAGTGAATAATATCCACGGTGACGTCTTCAGATGTCTCGTTTCATCAGACCGACAGTCCAAAACACAGAGATTTAATTTACTGATTTAAAAACAGAGAAAAGTAGAAACTCTTAGACACTCTGACAAACTGTTGTATATAAAGTATTAAAGCAAATAGTGATGTCTCAGTAATAACAGTCTAATAATATAATATCTACAGAGAGAGCTGACCAATGCGGGACGTTCGAGGCTGACACAGATTTTGGACTGAGAACTTCAGATTACTGATATGGCAGAAGCTGCTTTCTTACACTGATAGCTTTATAAAACTTATTAAATGTTGTTCACATAAACAGAAGAAAGATGTTTGTGCCCCAATAAAGATTGTCTCCAGTTCAGTGTCTGAATATTGTAAATGTTACTCTGTTGGCAGTCAGGTGATGCTGTTCCCTTCCAGCACTAAAGCTGATCACTGAGTCTAAAATGTGGCTGTAACACAACAGTACATTCATTCCTGTTTATTTTTAACATTCATTTAAATTAAACTGTTAATTTGACTTCAGACTGTGTTGGCAGCGCCTTTGTCTCCATCTTGTG